TTTTAGCCATCATGACAGCTCTCTAGGCCGTCATGTAAATGCCGCGTCACGCAAAAGCTTAGAAATTCAAGCGTAGTGTATCACAAAACCAAGCACCCACTCGGAGCGAAAATTTGTGTGAATATTAGTTTTCAGCAGCTCTTATACATCGTTTAAGTAAAATCTCAATAAGATCAATAGTTTTGTAGTTGGAATTTTAGTGACGTCATGTGAAAACCAGCTATTGTTGCCGAGTCCTCTCTTTCCTCTTTTTCAAACCGAGGTCAGACAGGCAAAGATCTTCGCATGTTGATGCGTTTTGCGTAAGTGTATATTTCCATGCAAAGCAACTCATCTTTCCATAATCATTTTTTTTTACTTTTTACTCAGAAAATGACATTGACTTCCAACCCTGCTATCGCTCCTTCCTTCCGTCCTTCGATTCCTGTTAGCTTTTTAGTAACTCCGCTGACCAGTATACAAAGCGCCGTCGGTTGCCCGCAAGTCGGAAAAGATTTATTCACCAAGTGATTTGTTTCTGTGGCAATGTTTCTTATTCGTGAATCATTTCTTCACAGTCGACAGCAAATGTTTTTGAGCTCGAAGTTCTCACCGTTAAATCAATTCAATGCTGTTCAATGGAAGTAGCGCCGCTTCCGATGATTTTTCATCGGAAAGCAAACGCCGTGTTTTGGTAAATGTTTTTATCTTTTTAAGCATTGGAAAGGCAAAGGCTGTGTTTCGGTAACTTTTTTTTTCATATCCGTTAATAACAAAAAAAATAAGAAAAAGTCATAAAAATAAAAATTGCCGAGCCCGGTAGGAATCGAACACACAACCTTTCACTTAAGCCACTTTGAAAATGTTATGACGCAATTTATCATCAATAAGAGGACAGACGCATAAAAAACTGACGTTAATTTGTTAAATTGTTATCTACATAAATGCGGGGTTGTTAGAACAGCAGGCGCAAGAGTGGCGCGGAAGTCTTACGAGTCGATGGCTTATCCTTGAAATAAGTCGTTGTTGAGCTCGTTCAAGCGGAGGTGAATTACTGTCTTTCTGGTAATGTTTCTCACTCATGCTGATTCGTGGATCTGTTTGGATGTTTGACAATGGCGTCATTCGTCACTCAATGGAGCTGGATTAGCAGGAGACTGTACAACTAGATGTAAGCTTAATTTCGAGCGACCACGTTCGGACGTAAGCTTTGAATGGACTCGCGTTATTTTATTAATTCAAAAACTCCATTCTCAACCTTTCATAAATCATTATCCGAGATCCAGCTGATTCGTAAATTGTTTAGGCGGTACAGAAAGTATGTTTTGTGTTTGCGTTCGATATGTTATGTGGCTGCATTCAGATGGGAATTGTTATTACTGCTTTTTGCCTCGATGTACACGAATTGTTGACTTTTACAGAGTAATTACAAGTAAAAATCTTTGGGATATGACCTTATAAGTTCTTTGACTCGTAGAATCAGTATGTTTGTTGGTGGTTTGTCACTGAGAGACAAGAAATCTGTCCATTTGACGTCGGCGAGCTACATAACGCAGTGGATGTGAGACTTATTTTGTTTGAACAAACCTTAGTCGTTCACTGTAGCTGAGCTGTACATGCGCAACAGTT